AGGGGCATCCTCTCATAGTCGTTTCCGCGCATCGCCTCGATGTTGGCATAACTCGTATGCTAGAATCGATGAATGCGTAAGAAAGATAACGCTCAAAACTCACCATACGCAGAGCAGGAGGATTGGGAAGGCTCAGCCTCAGCTTCTTCGCCGTCCTCAGACATCTCCTGCTCTTACTGGGCTGAACCCAGCAGAGCACCGGCCCCTGGATCAAACGATGTTAAAGAAATAATATCATCCTCCAGCAGCTTACTCTCGTCCACAGCCGACGAGCGCGAGAGGGAAAACCCCTTTTTAAACTCATCAGCCGGATCCACCTGTGATCCCCACGAGCCCATCCTCCTCCGTGCCTCAGCAGCGGTGGGTCCTGAGCCGCGGGAAGCAGATGGCTGCCCCCCTTTCCTCGAAAAGAGAGACAAACGAGAGCGGAGCGTTTCATTAAAATACGCTCGCAATGAACGCGGATTGCCCCCTCAAGGACATCGCGTGCGTGCTCTTTGCCCAAACAAACAACGCCGAGATCGTGTGTGTCATCAGGTGTCAAATAACGACGACGCGGATGCACACACCCTCTAAACGCTTTGCTAGTGCTCGCCATAACGATAGGAATATAGATCGCTCTTACCACAGAAATGCACGCTTCAAACAAAATGGTCAGTGAAGACAAAGAAGAGAATGACATGTTCTCCCGGTGCCTATTTATACTATAATCGCACCGGTAGTAATGTCATGGGCTGTCGCCGGCCAACGTGTTGTTGGTGTTTATGTATGCTTCAGACACGGGTCACGATGAGGCTTTCTCCATAGCGACCCCTAGAGGACGCAGTTCGAAGTTCCCTTGAAAGGGAACGTTCTCCACACTAAAAAACTGAACTGAAAGGTTCTTTGGAAAACCCAAAATGGTTCCTCTATGGCATTGCTGTGGAACCCCCTTTTTAAAACCAAATTTGTAAGAGGTAGAATGGAAAACGCATAAAATCACAAAGTAAAAACAGGAGGCACTATACTCGAAAAGGAATAAAAGTTCTGGATGTTGGCTTCGTAATACAGCGATGTCAACCACAGCGTTTCGTTTCGTCATTTATTTTGGCACAGGGCCACTGACGCATAGATTTTGTTGAGCAAAATGCTGAACAATTATTAGAAAGAACAAAACAAAAATATAGCAACTGTAGTTTGTATTTAACAATGAAAAAAAAAAACATAAACAAAAGCTGTCAGCTTTGTTTAACCTCACCGGGTCTAAATGAAGATCAAACACTGGTTAATACTAATAAAGGCTCAATATGACTGGCCGAGCTCTCTTGAACACAGACACACCTGCCTTTGATCAAAGCCTGCTGCTTGAAAGCCATGCATATGCGGTGTATAGTCCTGTCATGCAAACAAACCTGACGCTATATTTAACTGGGCAGCTATCACTTGAAAGGCCTGTTTGTTTTTATCTGAAGCTGAAAGACATCAGACGGCATCTGCTGCCTCGAGGGAGGAAATCTGTAACACTGCTACTAAACTGAAAACTAGAAATGTCTGGTTATAGCCTAATCATTAAAGCTGTCACACTTCACTGATTATGTTGATTTGTATAATAGCTAATTTCGGTTCTCGAATTTAGGTTTTGTCTCACTCCACTCTCTGTGTAGCAGTGAGGACTTTCTGTAGGTTACATCGGTAGGCCAGTAGGTGATGACAATAACTCTTAATGAGTAAATCATTAATTTCATTCAAAAAATAAATATTACTGCTTGAATAAAATAGGAAACACTCCTCAATAAACACAAAACACAATACAATTGCAAACCTAAAATAAATAAATAAATAAATGACATTTACATTTAGTCTTAGCAGACGCTTTTATCCAAAGCGACTTACAAATGAGGACAATAGAAGCAATCAAAACTAACAAAAGAGAAACAATATGTAAGTGCAAATGACAAGTCTCGGTTAGCCTAACGCAGTACACGTAGCAAGGTATTTATTTATTTAGATACACACACACACACACACACACACACACACACACACACACATATATATATATATATATATATGTATTACTTTGAAATACACTATCAGTTTCAAAACTTTTAAAAGTGAATGACTCCTGTTTCTTTTCCACATTCCTCTTTAAACGTCTGTTCTGGGAGTCTGTAAGTTTGGTGGGCAGGTACAAAATTACACGAAAAGGGCAAATTGCTTTACTGCAGCAACAAATGCATGTGTACAGCTATCCACAATGATATATTTACCACTTATAGTGGTTCAAATTTTGAAGATGGCTAAGGACTCAGCTGCTCGGATTGAGTTGGCCAGGTCATTCCACCAGGAGGGAACAGTTAATGAAAAAGTCTGTGAAAGTGATTTTGTACCTCTTTGAGATGGCACAATAATGCGCCGTTCACTTGCAGAACGCAAGCTTCTAGAGGGCACATAACTCTGAAGTAATGAATTTAGGTAAAGGGGTGAAGAGCCAGTGGTGGTTTTGTAGGCAAACATTAATGCCTTGAATTTAATGCGAGCAGCTACTGGTAGCCAGTGCAAATTGATGAACAGAGGTGTGACGTGCGTTCTTTTCGGCTCATTAAAGATTAATCTTGCAGGCATTTTGGATTAATTGTAGAGGTTTGATAGGAGTGGCTGGAAGACCTGCCAAGAGAGCATTGCAATAGTCTAGCCTGGATAGAACAAGAGCTTGAACAAGGAGTTGTGTTGCATGTTCTGAAAGAGAAAATAAATAAATAAATATTCTAATTGATTAATTAATTAAGACAAAAACAAAGACAGAAGAATATTGCAAAATCTGAATTTATGTACAAAATAATTGGCCAAAACCACAAAGAAGCGAAACATGTGAATGTCTTGACGAGTGAGTCACTGAATTATTCACTGAACTGAATCAGTGTTTTTGAACCAAATCATTATGAAAAGCAACTATTACTGCTTGGAGATGTGCAATGGTTAAATATATTGTGGCTTTCTGCTGAGATATTTTCTTTGGCAAAGCAAAAAATAGACAAACAGTGACTAACGTCTCTAAAATGTAAGTTACTCTGTATTTAGGCTTGTTTCTGTTAGATTGCTTCATTGTCATGCCGAAAGGATTTGTTGACTTCAAGGAAATCAATTTGTTGTTTACAATCATGTGATCCGTGGTGGATATTGATACTCAAGATTGATACACAGTCTGATCGCTAATTATCCCACTGGAATTATATTATTCAGTTTATTAATAACAGAAGGTGGACAAAGAAGGACACCAGGAGTGAGGTAAGCAATGGTTTACCTATATACCTACTTATGATTGGTCAGATTAAGGTAACACTCTTCCTGAAATTTGACTACTAGATGATTAGATTACTGGACGATGGTAGATGTCATAATTACACCACATTACTTTAAATGCAGTTCTTTCTTTTCTTTTTTTGGAGTGAAATTTATTTTTTTCGACATTTTCTCCATCTGTTGTCTTGAGTCACTGCTCAGGATAGTCACTAGTGAAGCATTTGGCACATGACCGAATGCTGCCAATAAGGTGCTGCTAGTGGAACAGAAATTGTTATTGAAGTAGTGAGCATATTGATGAATGTCACATGCTATTAAAAGAGTTCCAGAAATTCAAGCAATCCGCTTAATATTTCTGGGGACATAATGTGGGATTTTGTGTATTTAAACACAGTAAATCAATATATCTTTCAAAGGCTCGTTGCAAATGCGTTGAAGTACACATTAACAAACTGCCTAAATGTCCCACTGATGAGTTCTTGCTGATGGTCTTTTGGGTGATTGGGTGCAGGTGATGCAGAGTGAGACCCCCCCAGCTGGTGCTGTGTTTAAGTTCATGTCTCACATAGTCTAATTACTAACAATGGAATCCTACTAACAATGGAAACCATAGTCACATTTTCCTCTTGATTCTACCTAAAGGTCTCTAAATCAGCGGTAGGGCTACAGGATGGACAAGTTCGAGACATTCAAGAACAGATGTTAGAGGGTAGAGGGGTGTTAATAATGAAAACAGTGATCTTTCCTTCCATAACTTATTTCTGATTTGTACTGATAGTGTATCATGCGCAAGGGCCTATCTTTCACAGGGCCAGAATAGGTCTTATTCATAGGTGAGCAATCTTCAAATTAATACCTAGTTAAGTTCATTGTTTTTACATAATTGTTTGATATTAACAAATGATTTTGGCTTGAGGAAATTGAGGAATTCTGTTTTGATTTTGTAACCCTCTGTAATCATATATATTATATAGAACAATAATGTAAAATCAAATATGAATATTGAAGAAATTAAAGGAGTATTTGAATGTACATAAAAATCTTTTAAGAAGTCATATAGCCGATTAAGTAATTATCATTACTGTTATTAATGAAAATTTACAGTGCCAACTATTTTATTAATTGCTGTATTAATGAAATGTAATGAAATTAATTACAAATATTTATTTATTTGTGGGAGCTGATGGGTGAATCATTAGTTAAAATAACTTTTTAACTTGGGAACATTATAGGGTAATGGTTTTTTATTATTAATTTGTGTCTTTTTAATTATAATTTTTACGACTGTAAAAATGAAACAGAATTTCTCTATTTTGGGCTTGTCCCTTTGTGCATTGCACTTTTCACAACTGCCTAAAATTGAGCATCAAAAGTGTAATTAATTGGTTACATTTTTGATATAACGATTATTATTTTTAATCAAAACATTAGCTGTGATCTTTTTACCAGGACATGTGAAATCATAGCTGATACCATCAAAAATGAAACTTTAAATTTTGTTTAAAGTAGTCAGAAGTGTCGCTGTATGACGAATCCTCCATATATTATTATCTGAGTAATGTATTGTGTCTACAGAACTATGCAGGCATTTGGAGTAGGCACTAGGTAGTCAAACTGTGACTGCAGTAAAAATTGTGTTTCACCAGCAGATGGCATTGTTGTATGTTTATGGCAAGCGTGAGTGTTGAGTTCTATAAATCACTAGACGGCACGGGCCATGTGTTTGGGGACAGGGTCATGCTGAATACTGTGCCACTGCCAGAATCAACAGACGGATCCCTGATTCCATCTAAGTAATGCGGCTCATGAAAGGCCAAAGCCCTGTGATAAATCCATTACCCACAACTCCTGTAGTCATTGTCCCACCTCTTACTGACCTCCCAAAATAAACCCTAAAATCTTCCTCTCCCAGGGCTGGGAAACTCACTCGGACGTCCGATCAGCCGGAGAAATGTTCAACGCTTCATTTCAGGGCAAATGTATAAATACGTTTATAAGATCATCACTTGGTGTCCTGTGGTCTTTTATGACACCAATGAATGACAAAGTGAGGGTGAGAGACACAGTGAGCAGATTCCTGCGCCCCAGGCCCATTTATCAGCACGTTTGATG